GGGATGTGGACTTCAAAATAAGTAGGCCCATTTTGAGGTCCCAACCCTTGCGGCATTTGGAAGTTCATGCCTCGTCTCGAAGAGTTTCCATTGTAAATTTTAGCAGCCATGTCGGGGGAGTAAAGGGCCCAACGCCGATCCTACATCTGTATGTCGCACCATCAGAAGGCGATCATGCATACAAAAATTTCTCGGTGCCCTCAAAATGTATGACCAATGATTGGTGCAAGCAATGATGACAGCGCACTGGCTGTCGCCTTAGCATATAACACCACACGCAGTCTGCACTGACCGACAAAGATAGAAATGCCTCACACATCTGCCATTAAAGTTAGAGACGCTCCCATCGAAAGGGTTGGCAATGGTTCTATTATGCTTCCTAGCTAGCATCATTCAACCGCAAAGGCAAGCGATAATACTGACCGAGTGAAGGAACATTTCTCTAGCAGCTGTGGCAGCCTTTCAACTTTATTTTTTCAAGCACCAAACAGCCTTAGCTTGTTTTCGTAGTTGCGCGAGTTTCTTCACGCCATTTCTGGACCCTAAGTGCCGAACGCGGGCGCCATAGGCGAGTAACCGCCGAATATCTGCAACAAATTACAATTTTAGGCCTTATCACGCCTGATGAGCACAGGTATGAGTTTAATTGATTAAACCTGCAATGGCAGAGTGAGCTCTCTCAAACGCGACCCCTGCAGATCGTATCAACTTACGTAATGCCGAAACTCTGTGAACGCCGGGCGCGTGAAATTAAGCTCCGATTCTGGCATGCGTGGCGCTACAACGGCGCCATCTGTACACGCGACACGTGCGTGATCGAGTAATGACTTGCTTCCCCTATCAGGGGACTTTAGTTCCTCTACATAACAATAGCAGAGTGAGGCATACAGGTAGTACGGCTGCAGAGATAGCCTCGGAGGCGACAACTTTCGCGTAGTAAGGACTCCTGGACAAGCGAAACCTCAGAGTGTTTTCCTGTGAATTGTAAAGGGTGGTTGCCGCCACCTATCGTTCTGGGCAGAATTGTCGCATCGTGGCACTTCAACTAAAGAATAAATGAAACTAAAACAGTAATCAAGAATAAAATGATCGAACAAATTACAGATGACCAAAGCGCGAGCCGAGCCAGCAGCAATGCGAAAGGTTGGTTAAACAAAAACCGTCGTCAATTAAAGGGGGTACGAATTTCATCGAGCAGCATTTATTGACTTTATTTTTCGCTTATTGTCGCTTCGCGTGACATTCGCTGTAATTGTCTACTTTTAGTGAGAAATCAAAGTGACAATTGAATTCTGACAAATCTCCTGCACTCAAATATGAACTAAAAAAAGCGTGCGGTTGTTGACACGTATGGTGCCCTCTCTGGATAAGATTAACAAGCATAGCCGTCGTTGAATCTCCTTCCGACAGCTGTGACTGCGTCATTCAGAAGGACCAGTTTTGTGAGTTTAAGCTGGACAGTTCCATCTTGATCCAATCACTCGTCACTAATTCTCTCCTTTCGTTAGTGTCGTGACACGTACGTACTGGTCAGCCAAACCACACGTGCCATCTCCTAATCCTCTTCCTTTTGTATGGCATATAAACCCTTTTTGAACTGAACGGTATTTCTTATTTTAACATTCTGGAATATGAGACTTCAGATATAAATATTTGAATTCGACAACTAAAACACCTATACAAGAAAAAAAATCGCTTTTTACGCCAAGTGGCAGTTTTTTACCAACAACTTTCGGTGCGTAATATATTTCAGGGTAAACGAAACACACTACTCTCGCTAGCTCTAATGGTGAGTATGCTTAGGTAAAGTGCTTTCTTTCGGGGGGGTTGGGTGTGTTACTTTCTGTGGAGTGGACGGGGCGAAGCCGGATTCGGCATGCACGTCCCAGAAATTAAAAGGGATTATAGGAGTATATTTCAAACTATGAACGAGTGCTACGGTGGTAAAACCTCTGCGCCGTCGAATTTGTACAAAATAATTTACTACACTCCCATCAGGTACAGGGCGGTGCGAGAAAGACGTTTTCATATCGGCACTTCGGTCAATGAGAAATTCAGAGCTTAGAAATAATTCACAGGAAGATTTCAACAGAAGAACATTGAAGTGCAGTATAGACCAACTCGTGTTTACAAAAAAACCGGAGCGCCCTTAGCGAACGCCACCGGCGCCGCGCATGCGCGATGGAGTGTGGACCATTGAAATACGACGTTGTTGGCATCGGTGTGAGTCCCCGTGCTCTTTTTCGCGTTGGAATTGTTAATTCGACGACTTCCTGGCAATGTCTGACTACTTGAGTGGCCTGAACGAAGTTACTGAGGCTCGTTACAATGCAAAACTTGGCATGAATAATGTGACATCCGGCGATTCATTCCGCGTGGACGCCGGAGAATGGGCGCCAAAACCTGATTCGCATGATGAGATTCCGCTCTCAATTTTCTGTCGCAACTTCGCTCGGGCTGCAAAAGCGTAAACCACACTTGAGAGGGCCGACGTCAATACTGAAAATCGCAAGCAGAATCGAGCCAACTGAATCAGGCATAACAAGGCGGTGATGGCCACTGGTAAGATTGATCAACATCTCCTTGTGCCTGCTGTTTACATCCTGCCTGCTTACCCCAACCAACCTTCAAACTTAGAAGTTGTTTGAAGCCTGCACTTACTTCTTATCGCGATTACCGGGCCAACGTTTGGTCTGCGGCCGATGTCGTCTGAAAGAGCAGACGGCAAGCAGAAACGTCTGAAAGAGCAGAAGACAGTTCGTACGATCAGGCGGCCGTTTAAACTTGAAGACGCACTGAATGTAGTCCGCAGGTGGTCCGTTGAAGTTGACGGTTCTCCCGTGTTCATGTTGAAACAAAACCAATAAATCTGATTACCAGAAGAATCCTTGAATTTAACCCAAAGCGCTTCCCGTCCAAGCAATCGTGGTCCGACGGCATCTAGTTTTCCCTTTTCATGGCACATATCCAGGTTCTCGGACGAACCGAGCACATGAAAACTGACCTTGAAACTTTTCTCGACACTTTTGGTACAGCCCGAGTCGAAGTGTTTTGACGAGAAGGCGCTTTTTTGTCTGTTTTCCTTCAAAACAACGCAGAAATGCACGTCCCGCATGTTGACTTCCGCCCACAGCCCCATAACGGAAGTGCGCTTGACGCGCCACCACCGCGCCGTGACTAAACAGAGTTGAATTCGTGCATATCTTGAAATATCATGGCTTTCGTTAGCCTAGATTACGTTAGGTGTTTCCTCGCAGTAAGTCCTAGAAATGTTTTTGCTTTTAATTACGGTATTGTCAGTGCTATATTAGAGATTGCTATTTATATATGCACCCCCCCTTCCCCCCACAGGGGGACCCAAATAACTTGCGCCAAACTTAAAAAAAAGAAACGCTCAGCGACAGTAAGATTAACTGTATGCTGTTACCAAACCTTTGTGAACGTGCAGAATTTTCTTTTCGTGCGCCTGGTTATTTAGTTAATTAAGGCTAAGTAGCTATTTTTTGTATATTTCGTTTAAGAGCCGAGGTTTCACTTGGAGGGTTGTGGAGCGGTATTGAGAAACACCCAATTGAAATGGTTACTACATGATTCGCTTTGCAAGCTTCTCTTTTATTAGCCTAAAATAAAAGCCCGCAAAATTTCCTTTTCTTTAATGAAAATATTTAAACGAACTGACAGGCTAGTCGGAACGAGTTCCCGTTACAAGTTACAATGGTTCGAAAAGGAATTCGTTCCCGTTACATTTGTAAGATTAAGTGTGTTGTTAAATTAATGGCACAATTGCGTATTTAACTCAAGTACTGTGCTAGATAATGCGTAAATAAAATAAAGGAAACAAGTGAAAATATATGTACGTCAAACTACGTATCGAATTATCAGAAGCAATAGTGTTCAGGCGAGTCGGTTAGAAAACATCGCAACGTCAGGGTCACATTTGTTCCAGTTCTTTGTATTCGACTATCTTTCGGACACTGCCCAATACCTTGAAATCGGGTTTTGAAATAGGCGATAATAATAAAGCCTGTAGTCGGTGAGAGGTTAAGAGTGAAATGGAAGCCCCTCTCATCTCTCTCCACTTCAGAAAAGCGAACGCTATAGAGGAAGTAGGTTCATCTCAAGCGTTCACTCCGCGGATGTGCAAATCGTAGGGAGGAGCTCCCACTTCACTCGTAACCTCTCACTGACCACAAATTTCTTCCATATAGTTAAATAAAGTTTAGAATAGATATTAAAAAATTGCCGTTACTTTTTCATTTTTTCAGAAATGTTGTGATTCCTGTTGCAGTTCCATTGATGCAAGATGGAATGGCGGAGTTCTTTCGTTCCGCCAAAATAAACGCGTTCCAGGAAGGTTGCTCTTTGGAACGCCGTTTTGTCAACACTGGTGCAAAACAGAAGTTCTTGTAAGAGAAGGCAGAACAAAAAAGCATTCCTTTCTGGAATGAATAAACTGCACATGGAAAGTTTTTATCGATTCCTGCTCAACAAATATCAAAATCTCATTAAATTCACCATTTCGTAGAACACAAATACTTCATTGTGGTCCCAGAACGTATCGAAAGGCAACCGTTAAAACGGGCAGACGAAACAGACCACAGGCACATAGTAGACGTAGTCTAAACCTCACGTGGCCGATCGAGCCGACCGAGAGGCAAGCAGATGATGAGAACAGCGTCGGTGCGCAAAGCAGTCTGGGATTGAGTTATTTTTCGAGATTCGCTGTTGTGCATGATGTCATGCCGGGTCCTACGGTATTAAACCTGCAAGCGGGGGGATTCATTGCCGGACAAAATAAAGGAGGAAACACACCCACCCAATTGAAAAAAAAAAAGAAAGTGGGAGAGTGTGGAGTTTGTAACCGCGCACAGCTGAGTGCTTCTTTTTGCAACAAAAATAAAAATAAATTTTGATTCTTCCAAGAATCACGTAATCGGTGAAACTATATAAAAGTGAACACATCTGCGGATATTGCAACTACGTTTGAGAGGTCGTTAACGATGCTCGCACTGATATATTTGGCGTTCTGTCTAAGCGTTTTTGCGGCACACGCCGACGTAGAGTTTCAAAGTTGGGAGAGACCACCGGACAACAATGCTGACCTGAACAGGAAAGACCTTGGCGCGATGCAAGATGCATGGGAGGTATGATTTATTTTCACCGGGGATATCAATTTTTGTAACGATATTAGCCATCTGCGTTGTCATGAATCGATTGTTGTTTTAGTCGAAATCCTGTTCATATTAGTAAGGAAATGGCTTCCGGATGACCTTGTGAATACATGTTCCCGAATAATGCCCCTGCTGAAAGCAAACCACATTGCGTAGTAAAACGATTGCAGTGGATTGCCTTAAAATTTTATATCCGGAGACCTTTAGTAGCAATTTGTTTTTATTTTTATTTTTCACTAACATCTTGCGCTACGATTGGGCGAAGTCTGAGCCTTCAAAAATCCGTAGTTCTGAACCATTGAAAGAAAAAAATCAGCTTCGTTTTATTGGTAGCGGATTGGTGTAATGGTTTCTTAGGTGGCAAGAATTTTCAAGGATGATAAAAGAAAATGTGATGACAATAATTCTAAATCAAAAACGAGCTGAATGAAGAATACTGTATGAGGCTAAAACAAAGTTCTCATTAACTGAAGGGCGGGTTTGTATCATTGACTGGCAACAGAAAGAATAACACAAACGCTGGACGTAGTCCCTCGTCCCGAGTTTGTTTTCTTCTTTCTGCTGCCAGCTAAAATACCGCTGCCATTGTTCTTACTTAATATCAAAATTGATTGTTCGTTCGTTTCTTACAACGATTGTGTTTATTAATGTTACGTTTACAGGCACGCGCATTTATTGTAAGCCTTTTTAGTATGCTATTTAGTCCCTCATCGGCTATACACTGGTCACTTTTACTCTTCTGGAGAATCAATGGAATGTTTTCACTCGTAGAGGACATGGACGAAAGTGCAGCGTGCACTGTGACGACGTTCATCACAATTTATTATGAAAGCAACAAAATTTTGTATGATAGTCTTCTTACCTTCAGCTTAGCTTTGAATAAAACTGTATTCACATTACGGCTTTATTTATACATACAAAACTAATCCAGAGGACAGCATTTAATTTACGTAAAAAGAATTACAAAAAATATTAATATATTTTCAGACAATCAAGGGTACGGCGAACCAGACCTATTATCTCATTTATAGTAGCGGATTGGGGACCGATGCGTTTTACAGAACTTTTAGATGCCTCCAAGTGCAAACAAGTGACCTCAATCAAACTTTGAAGAGTGCCAAATACACATCAAAATGGTACGACACAACATCTAAAAAAATGTAAGCATTTCCATTGTTTCGTAATGTCCTCAACATAAACGGTTTAATTAAATATCCAACCAGTGATACATGGCATTTTGGAGTCCACTGAAGTGGTCAGTTGGCTTTTCGAAAACCGATAATTATCCGCTTAGGAATTCTACTGAAGTACGATAGAGTTCTTGAATAAGTTTATTCGTTAGTCACTAACTTGGTATATATACTATTTCGAACCGCATGCTGGGTTAAAAAATAATATGCATTTAAAAGTACAAAAAACTTTTGATAATACGATAGGATTATTATTATGGCAAAATAGTGACATCGTATGGGTCCCGCATGTGCACTTGCGCGGAGCATATATGGGATTACCGTTATAAATACACATGGCAACAATTTATTTCGACGATAATGCTCAAGCTGAGAGAACAAGCAAATCGTTATTATACGTGGCAGGATTGAAGAAACATGTAACAGACGACGATAATAATCCCTGGAGAAGGGGAACAATTAAGGGCAACAAAGAACAAACACAAATCTCGAAAACACAAAACAAGTGATAAAACCCATTCGCTCTACTGAAGTCTGACTCCTGGTTAGCTCAGTTATTAGAGCGCTCCACTCATAATCGAAAGGTCCCTGGTTCCATACCAGGACATGGCGGATTTTGTTCGGTCGCGCAGCAGTCACCAAGCTGTGTTCTGGAGATATGTGTTTTTCCTTTTTCTCCATTGTTTCACTTCTCCAAGGATTGTTATCGCCATTCTTGTCCAGCTCGCTTGCACCTTTGCATTAATATCATTTGCACCACGTAACAAACATCGCTTTAGACAATAAAAAAGGAGGCGTTTCGAAAGCCGAACTACAGTATGAAATCTTCGCAAAATGAGAAACTAAAGCTGACAAGAAATATGCTCTCACAAAAACTATATCTCATACGATCTTCGGGACATTACCACCATGTTACGTGGTACCTAACGACCAAATAATAGAAAATATGCAGATGAGTGACTCGTGCTGAATCGTTTATTAATAACGCTATTTCTTCAGCATGTTTTCAATTGTTTCCTTCCTAGAAATCATATGGAGATGAAAATAACCCGTGATATATTCAAACGTAGTTTTTAATTCCCGAAAATGATTTTATTGAGTTTATAAAGCTCATGAAAAGGAAATCATGCTTGTAAACGTGGCGGCACAAAGAGTGAGAGAGCCTCTGGAGCACCACAAGAGCGTGTTACGAGCCAGCAATTTTCGTATCGCGTTCCACGCGGGGGCATATGCTTCCAGCACACCTCTGTTTGCTGCAATAGACCGATCCATAGCCTCTTTTATACTGACAAAGCCTGGCAGATCACCACGAGACGCGGCCTCCGAAAGTGAAAAGGTAGAGCGGCAGAAAAGAGGCATGTAACGCGCGCCCCGCTGCGGCGAGACGCCGAAGCACAGTTGTCCCGAGCGATGCATTGTCCGCTCTTTCTTCTCGCGTTCCTCGGGCTAGCGTTTATTTTCTCGTCGGGTGTGAAAACCATGTTTCGGGTCCTCGCTGCTGCAGAAGCAGTGCGCTGACTACAGGCTCCCCGGGAAATGCTCTGTGCTACCAGATTCTAGCGCTCCAAATCTGCGACCGGCCACTGGGGGCGCCAGTGTCTGTCCCCCTCGATGAGGTAATAATCAAGGCACTTCTTCCTCACCCGACTCAGGGTGTAAAAGTGCGCTCCTTCATCGGACTGCCAAGCTTTGTGAGTGTATGGGAGGCTATGACCAAACTCACCAGCCAGTTTGACTACGCCACCACTGTCGCATTGCATCGAGGGAACTTTAGTCTTTCAGTACGTGCCCGAACCTGGCTGGAGCTCTACACGTTGAGGTGGCTTCACGCATGCGCCGAACGCCTGGTAAGATGGGTCGGTTCCGTTCGGTGCGCTCGTAAGACACATTGGAAACGCCAAAAGGACAAGGCGGTGTGGTGCAGTGGTTAGCATACCTGGCCGGTAATTATGAGGCTACAAGTTCCAATCCTGGCTCCCTCTGGGATTTGGTCTTTAGGGCGGCTACATAACGATTATTTCATCAGATCAGTTCAGTGCAGTTCATTTAGTCTAAAAATTTTGACATATGATCTTCGGATGTTCTTCAGTAACATAGTGAGTATAGGACACTGATCGCTTTATTATAACTGCGCGGTAGGTCTGTATCTTGATGGTGTATCGGCGTATGCGCCGTGAAAGTTCGTGTGTTCCTCGCGCACCTCGTACGTTTGTTTACCCCCGAAACGGAATCACGTGCTTCTGTTTTTTACTGTTTTCAACCAACATCGCCATTTGATTGGCGTGATCCTCTTTGCGTTGTATTGCGCGAACGGCGCATTTCAGAACACTTGCCCACCATACTAAGTCGATAGCTCTAACTTGTAACAAGCGAGAGAAAACGCGCCCCCTTCCCCTGAAAATTTGCAATACTGCTGCGTAACCGCAAAAGAAAAAAAAAAGAAGAAAATTATGTTTGTCGGATAATTTGTTGATTTGTGGCCGGGTGTGGCAGTTGTGGTAGGGGCGGTGCCTTGTCATTGGGAGCACACATAAGTCGACCAAACCAGTTTCCTTCCGCTGCTACAGTCGGCTTCAGCACCTTGGTCAACCGCCTATTGACTCGATCGCACACCGCAACCTTCGGCGACGCTAATCTCGAAAAATATTTCAGCGCTCGGTTCCCAAACCCACGGGAGACAAGGTAGTACTACTACAAGTGGCATCACTCAAATGACGGGTTGAGAGTTGAGGGGTACTGCGACCTTCGATTCTTTTAATTTTTTTTTAAATAAAAACTAGCGCGGAAACAGAAGAGGTTTCATGATCTTTATTATATAGGTGACGCGGGCTAATTCTGGCGGTTCATTGGCCAAAGCGCGAAAATCGTCGCATCGCGCCTGTAAGGTGTACAATCTTTACTCACTGAAAGCACAAATGTGACCCTAGTGATCGGGCCACGAAACTAAACAAAAATTAGTTTCATAGGGCACGAAATAAACAAAAATACGTCAAAACTGCACACACCGCTCTGCACGAAGAAACCGAAACGGGCCATTTTCGGAAAACAGACATAAATCGCTGGCTCCCAGAGGGAGCTGGCTACAATTGACAAAAGTGAGATATTAAAGCGCAAAACGATGAGGAAGAAAACACGAGGGAGGCAGGAAATAGCGCTCTTTCCTCTCTTCCTCGTATAATCATCGTTTTGCGCTTCAATATTTCAATACGTACAACCAACTAGCCCGCCAGATAATCTTAATGACAAAAATGATCTCACGAAATAAACTTCCCAATGGCAAACTATCTTATTTATACCTTCTTAAACATAACAATCTTCGCATGCGTGGCACGTTCATAGAAGAAGCATGTGCAGAGTGTTTAGGGCTAAGAATCTCACGGTTCTAACATAGTTTCCAAGAATAATCGGGTCGCTAATTTTCCAGGTGCCTGTGTCTCTTTTATTTTGGATGGTATTGCTTTTTTTTTTTTAATACAACATGCCTTTTTTCATAATAAAAAAAAATAGCTGTTAACTTTTTAAAAAACTTCTAACTAAGCGCTCATACAGAGAAGCTTTAAGTCTATCACATATTGCTGAAATAATTTTCGTTAGTCTGAAGGTGAAATTAGACTAAATGTTAGCTTGACGTCGACTTTTGCTTACCCTTCATATTCCTGAATTTTCAATTTTAGATGGACTAAATACAAAATGTCTAAATTTTATATCACTGTGACTTGTAAAAAATGAGTGAAAGATAATGCATAGGTAATAGTTAATCGACCTTATTATTTTGCCGGAAATTTACACCAAGTGTCTTGTATGTAAATAGGTTTTCTACAGAGTTATTTTTCCCATCTTGTACTACAGGAATTCAAAAACAGAATATGTTCAAGCTGTAAAACAAAAGGACTATAGCATTGAAAATATTATGCATATGGGTACGTATCTTATATTTTTTGTAGTAATAATTAACGCTAGCATCTTCATCGCACGATATCTGGCAGTCGTTGTGCGCGAACCAGTTGTTGCCGAGACGCGCACCATAAGTGCAGGAGCTATTTAAGAATTTATTAACCACAGTTTTATTGCCAAGTTGCTAACTGGCCATCCGCTGACTTACAATACTGGTCTTCGTTTTTATATTCTCTCTATTGATTTAGTTAACCCTTCACATATGTTAAATGCAGTGGCAGTGTGCATGTATTTTTTTAAGTATTTACGTAGAGGGTGGGTTTTGCTGTGGTTTACTACAGTAGCATGTTTATTTAAACAACTTCTGTAGATGCAGAGGGGTTAATATTAGTTTAAATAGACGCCACTAAGCTGATTTCTATCCAACATTTGGTGGTACGCATAAAACCGGTATAACCTTTCCAGAAGCACGATGTCGCTGAAAATACGCCAGTCCCTCATACCACCAAAATGTTGCCATTCAAACCATCATTCTGGCTTGAGGTGTAACATTTTGTTACTCATGTGTCCGACTACATTGAAACGATTCAACATATTTTTGCTATATATGTTGTTGTTTTTGTTTTCAAAATGTACCCATGTTCAACCCACATACAACCCATGAAATAGTTACGCTTTTTTTCTATGAGATTGTACTTCCTTATGTTATGAAATTATTCTTGTAGGTTTGATTATACATGTATAGAAAGGCAATGTCTAATGTACACTTGAAACTTTTCTCGCATTACCCTAAAGCCACTAAATGTTTTCAGATTACCTAAACATACAAGCATTTTTTTATAATAAAGTCGCAGCGCAGCACTTGAGAGCAATAAAATGGTAGATGTCTGCTATTAGAGCAATTCGTGTTACCGTCTAGGAGTTTTTGTTCGCGGGTGCTTGACGTGCGCGCAGCGGTGGTGGTATTTTTTTTTTTTTTAATTACAGTTCCTCTCAATCTTCCCAAGCGGTCGCAGGACTTACGTATTGTGCTCGGTTTGACACTCCTGCTTTAAGACTTCCCCAATACAAAGCCAAGGCCTATCGAATAAAGAGTGACTTTTGACAAATACGGGCAAGCTGGCGCTCTTGTCTTAATTTGAGACGTACCATTCTTGCTGGAGTGCTTGTTCGGCGAGAGCACGATTCGTAACAGCGGTCTCGTGTTACCCTGTATGTTGAAGTGTAAGCGGATAATCGATTACTGTTTATTTCTTAAATCCTTCTTGTAATTACTTCCATTCCCTACGTAGTTTAGTGTAGGGTATGGGGAACAGAAAGTGCATCAAATTACAACCTAGAGTAAGAAGCTATTAGATATTTGTAGTAGACAGAAGAAAAACGAGTGGCAGTTGCTTGCAATGGTATTAACTTCCAATGCCGCGGTATGAGGAAAATGTCCAAACAAGAAGTCACGTCTTCACCTTGGTACATTCGTTCGACGGCCTTAGTCTAAAGGCTCTGTTATACTTCAACTTGAGCGAAGCAAACGCAGCGTTGCGCAGAACGCGCTTGTTTCATTGGACGGCGTGCAGGAACTTGATATCTGCGACCACTGAATGTCTGTGTGCGCTGCGTTTCGCCGCGCTTGCTACACTCGACGTCGGAGTATAACAGGGCCTGAAATGACCAGCGCAATACATTATTTTCAAACGTTCGCCACAGCAGCATTGGCCGTCGCCATTTTCTGAGCACGAAGCGTGGGATTTAATCCGCTTCCTCGCCGAACGCTGACGAAGCACTCGTCTTTAATATGAGCTCAGAGCACGTGCTCCAAAAACGGCGTACTAAGATAGTTGACCCAGCAGCTATAAGTGTGCAAACTTTTAAACGGGTTCTATTATTCTTTGGTGCATACTCATTTTCTTTGTTCTTTGCTTGTTTTGTCTAACTTCTGACACCCCTTTATTGTTGACTTCAATTTGATCTGTTTCTGGCATTAGTTTTTCATTTTCCACTGTGTTACATTAGGCGTTAATGCCACACGCCAAGTTCTGCCGAAAAACCCGATCCCTGTGCACGGTGTCGAGCTCAAAATGTACCTCATAATTCAACAACAAAAAATACATATCTCTAATCTTTTTCTTCCAAGACCATCCTCAGCGTAAAACCACATCACGAAATGGAGCCTGCTATAATCTCGATTTCAACTTCCTCTGTGTATCAAGCAAGTGCACCATAGATCACAAGGAATGTTGGCGAGGACCCTTGAGTCCACATTCCGAGAAATACGTGTCATTCGACAATTCCTTCTGTCGTATATTGCGATCACTACAAGATGCTCTAGGCCATGAATGTGAGTATAATGAAATAATGTCACATACCACGGCAATTTATATTTAAAAAAAAAACGCTTTCGAGTCGCAAAAAGAAAGCTATTTCATTTGTTAACTAAGCTGGCTCCAATCCACGCTGTGAAGGTGCTTGGACAGCGAAGCTGTGGTATCACCTGCAAATATTGCCCACTGCACGATGCACCAACTCATGTTTACAAACAAAAGGGAGCGCCCCTAGCGGACGCCACCGGCGCCGCGCATGCGCGATGGTGTGCGGCCAAGAAGCTCGCCGTCGACCACTGTAAACAAACCATTGGAATGCGATGTTGTCGGGGCTGGTGTGAGTCGCCTTGACCTTTTTCGTGTTCGAACTGTTGATTCTACGTCTTCCTGGCAATGTCTGACTACTTAAGCGGACTCAACAAAATTACTGAGGCTCGTTACACCGTAAAACTTCGCGTGAATAATGTGACACGCAGCGATTCACTCTTCGTGGACGCCGCAGAATGTACGCTCAAGCCAGATTCGCATGATGAGATTTCGCTCGCAATTTTCAGTCGCGACGTTGCTCGGGCTGCAAACGCCTGAACCGTAGTTGCGATGGTCGACGTCGATACTGAAAATCGCGAGAAGAATCAGACCGAGTGAATCAGGCCTAACAAGTGGGTGACGGCCACTGGTAAGAATTATCAACATCTTGTATCTACTGTTTACATCGAGCCTGCTTACCAACCTTCAAACTTAAGTCTTTTGAGGACTGCGCTTACTTCGAATCGCAAGTACCGGGCCAGCATTTGATCTACGGGCTGGGATCGTCTAATAGAGCAGACGACAAGCAGAGACGTTCGATAGAGCAGACGGCAGTTCGAACGATCAGTCGTCCGTTTGAACATGAAGGCGCACTGGACGTAGTCTGCAGGTGGTGCGTACAACTTGACGCTTTTCCGGCGTTCATGTTCGAACAAAACAAATAAATCTGATGACCACAAGTATCGGTGAATTCAATCCAAAGTGCTTCCCGCCGAAACAATCGTGGTCCGACGGTGTCTGGTTTTTCCTTTTCACGGCACATATCCAGGTTCTCGGACGAACTGAGCACACAAAAACTGACCTTCAAACCTTTCTTGACTCTTTTGGTACAGCCCCGGCCGCGTCGTTTTGACAAGAAGGCAGGTTTTTGTCTGGTTCCTTTCAAAAGAACGCAAGAATACACGTCTCAAAGGAGGCTTCTGCCCACAGCCCCAGACCGGAAGTGCTCCCGACGTGCCACCACCGCGCCGTGACGTAACAGAGATGAGTTCGAGTATATAAGACCATTTTAATAGGAAAGCATTAAGTGTCCTATGAAGCAAATCCGGCATTGCCTGTAACCGTCTAGCACCGAAACGGCAGCTAAATTCCCTTAAACAGCGACGGGTCACGTGGCTCTATAGAACCGGCGTCATCGTTGCTGAGGAGCCAGCCGAACTACTGGCGGCGCAGCGGGTTGGGGGGGGGGGGGGGACGCGGGTATGCGTAGTCTACCGGTACTCTAAGGTCGTCCTAGACGTGCTCTGGTCGTCGTCCTAGACGTCGTCCTCTAGATCTTGTTCTAGACGTTGTCCTAGATGTCATCCTTAAGGTCGTCCTGGAGGTCGCCCTAAAAGTCGTCCTAGACGTCGTTCTTGACGTCGTCCTTCAGGTCGTCAACGTCGTCCTCTAGGCGTCGTTTTCAACGGCATCCTAGACGTCGTCCCCTAAGCGTAGTTCTCAACGTCGTCCTTAAGTTCGTGCTAGACGTCGTCCTTGAGGACGTAGTCCTAAACTTTCATACGTGTAGAAACATTGCTCGAAAACATTTCACCCGCAAGACTATTACTCTCTCCGTGCCCGGTGGATTGCCCGAACCACAAGAAACGTGCAAACCACAAAAAGGGTAGACGCCTCAATACGATCGAATGGCTCCTTTGTGTGGATAAAATAACGTTTCGATCAATCAATTAAACGGATACTAGAACGAAATTTGGACGCTTATTTCTTGCTCTCTTCGCGTTCAAGGGAGCATTATCAGACACACTTATCTCTTGTTGAAAAAGACACAAAAAAAATTTTAAAACAAATGGACCGATTGGCGTGCTTCGGCCGCCTTGGTGGCTGAAACGGCTTTCTGTCTTTCTTCTTGGACATAGTTTCCCCGCTTTTACCACAGTCTCCGTTTTCTACATCATGATCAACATCCACCAGCTCGCCTGCGCACTCACTGCTTTTTTTCATTTAAGACATCCTCCCGACTTCAGCCTCGCCGCAGCTTTCCTCCACCCGAGACAATCTACGTCACAATTGCGTCAATGTCACGAGCTCTCCGCTGGCTGCTCTCGGAGCGCTTGCCAGAGTGGGCGTTTAAAACAAAGAATACAGTCGTCAGGCTCAAAATACAAACGTGCGAATGTCATTTATGAATATTGTGGATCATATTCAGCCTATTTCAGAACACGACGGCTATATTTCGAATTTCGTTGAAGTATCCCTTTAACACCGCTGATTGAAATGTAGACGAAACGTTTAACGAGAAATTCTCCACATGAACGCCAAAATAACGCAGGAGTGCGAGATCTGTTAAAATGTTTCGAGTATTCGTGTAAAACAACTTGCTTCCCCTAAGATTTAATAAAGTACAGCCGAATTCACCGCGTTAAATCTCCAGCTTTCTTGTCTGTGTAGTATCTAAGGTTTCTAGCACTGGTGACATAGGCAAGTTCAGCAGGTTTACAAAGACGGTCCGACCGGAAGTCGCTTGGGACGGAAGTGGCACTTTATGTTTGTAAACAGTAAAAGGGCCTACACCAAAAGATTGACGAAAAGAAAAGTCAAGAGGACACTTCAGAAGCCCCTAAAAAAAAGTTATTTTTAAACAGTTTGGTTTTGACACGCGTGTAAAAAAAAAGTTAAGAAATTGAAACAACACTGACGGCGCGAGATTAATTTTTTTTTTTTTTAATTTTGCTCTCAAAGACGATGGCGTCAGGGAATGGTCATACGCCCTGTCAACCTCATCGTGATGGTCAAGCCGATCCACCTCTCTTCCACGCGCCCGAAATGCCGAGACAGAATACCGATTCAATCGCGTCTCGCACCGTCGATATTGCTCTAATTTTTTGTTTCCTGTAACATAATTTTTCGACACGTATGACGCAACCTGACTGAAGTTTCTTTTTTTTTTTCGTGAGGACGACGACACAAAGAAGTTGCAGAAATCTGATTTGTGAGCCAAATACAGCTTGGCTGTTATAGACCACTTTCGAAAGTCACGTGACGATTATTATAGGGTCGGAGCCACTGCACAATGGCGGAGCGACTGCATCGAGGAACGTGCAAGTCATTCCATAGATAGCGAACATCGGAGCGCGTCCAACACTACGAGCCGACGAACCAATCAAACAGCGTCAAAAGGGCAACGTCACTGCGATCATCACCTTTTTAGTGATGTGTTTTTTCCAGTGTGCCGTGACTTTGAGGTTTTAGTTCGCCATTTTGCAGGGATTTCACAGCTCCTAACAGAGTGCCGTATTTTGAAAGGGGTCTAGCTATATTGCAAGATATTCAACGTCTTGCTTTAAAACAGCACGAGAAAATACAAGCACAAAATAAAGGCGAGACCGTCTACAGCACTGTCCTTTGTCTCGGATTTTCTTTGTCATCGTTTTGTCGCGCAGTTTTAAACCAAGGTGCTCCATCAACCGACTAGACCAAACATACATTTCAGCGAGATATTAAAAGTCGTTACATCTCTAATACCAACTCAAACATTTTCCGAGTTACGGGACGTCCAGGAACCGACAACTAAGCGTTCAATGAGTGAAAAAATGTGCCAAATGTCGGGATAATTCATCGAAGCAAAGGGTGAAAAGTGCAGAACCTTTACACCGATTTAACTCAACTAAGCTATAAAAGATAGACGTTTCGCTGCCTATGCCTGTGGCATCTTCAGAATGAACTGACACGAATGAGGCGAGAGCCCTCTTATACACAAGCGAAAGGCCAATAGAATTTTCAGCACTCATCACCCAGACTAAAAATGCCGAGCCATTGGAATGTGGACGCATACGCGTCGTCTGATATTCCGCAGTAGAAAGCAACTGCGCGTGCTCAGAACCCGTTCTGCAACTTGGGATGGCAGCGCGCAGAATGTGATTATTGGAAGGATCTATACGCATTTGCAAGTACGAGCTCTGTGCGGCGCCATCTTGCTGCTGGTGTGGGTAAATCGTCTGATAGTCAAGCATTGCTGAGGCGTACCCGCAGTTTCCAGACTGGCGCCAAAACAAAACGTTTTCAGTACACAATGATCAGAGTAGCTCTTGATGTGCGGCTGCTTGAAAACGTCCTTAGGATGCGTCGCTGTCGGGGAGGCAGGCAGGTTTGTATACTACTGCGAATTTCGCGCTATGCGGAAACTTTTATACTCACACCAGGGTCTAGAGCGCCACGTGTGAGATCAACGGTTCGTAAATATTGTCAAGCATTCAAAAAGGTCAAAGTAAAGCACAAAAATAAGCCGGGAACTGAAATCGCCTAGATTCAAAGACAGTACCCACTCAGCCACGAACCTGGGAAAGAATAGCAGTTCTAACGCTTGTGTAGCTACCATGTTCGTCCAATGCTAAAATTAAAACATACTCCTATTGTGTTTTTTTTCTTTTTTTCCCTGACTAAACTAGGAAAAAAATAAAGACATAAATTAATTATGTAATCAAGGTAGCATTAGGCCGGAAAACAGAACTGGTTATGAAATATGTATATGTGAATCTCCTGGTCCGAATTTCATGGGCCATGAAGCTTGGAGATCTGAATTCGGTGCCACCCGGCTACAGCCAATTCGGTGCCACCCGGCTACAGCTTCTGTTCAGAAAACCTGATATGAAAAGTACGACAGCCGATTGGCATAATGGAGTGCAACGCCCCTAATACAAGGATAGAAACAGTTTTCGTAGCTGAGACCAGCGGTCAATTCGTTTGATCTTAGTATTCTATTTCTACTTAGACAAAAACCACGGATAAAAGATTAGGCTTCGGTTTTTCTGATGTTATGACCAGCTCATTATCTTAACTCTTCTGGTAGAAAACTATTCAACTGAGGAAAATAAAACTCCTTATTGTTCGTAGACAGGGGAACAGACGGCAGCCATCGTGCTCAAGTTTTGTTTTGATTTTAATAATCGGTCCTATATCGAAAGTGCGGCTTAATAAACTCGATCAAATTATCAACACCACGACACCGGTGATATAGGGTTGCATTAAAGATCACAAAAGCTCGCAGAAAAAGCTACACTGGGTAACATAAAGGCTAAACTCGCAAAAAAATTCAATTGAAGTGCTCAGTACCCTACGTTTGAAAACATATGTAAACGACTACACTGTGTATGTGAAAATTGAATCTCATTTTTATTTTGTTCCTGTGCAAAGTTCAAAAGGTGTTCCTTTGTTCTTCCTTCATTCAACATGCTCAAGTTGGGGGAACTTGTAATTATATTTTTGCCTTTAAAGCGCTTGTTTTTAATTTTTTATCATAAGCGAACTTTTACATTCTAAAATGCGCTTTGTCTTAAAATATCGCTTTGTCTTTCTTTTCCAGCTTGTGAACTCTGGCTAAGGGAAGATTGGGTAAAGAAAAATTTTTCGATTCCCGAAGTACAGATCGAAGAAAGTGAGAAAAAAGAGGAGGAGTCTGGGAACAAGGATAGGACAACGTATTTGTACGATTCCTTATTTAAGCAACTTCCGTCCAGCTGCCGATACGCATTTCTTCTTAACTGCGGATATCCGAAATCCCGAATTTATGACAAGGAAATCTGCGACAAGATGAATGAAAAAGGAAATGCTGCATCACGTGACACAAACGGAAGTCACTAACACAATAATGTCAGCAAAAACGCTTCCCGTTTTGTTTCGGACGTCGCGCTCCAACCATCAACCACGTGCTTATCGAGATAGCTTTTGGTTTTTGGTAGTTCCGTGAATGTGAACCGGTGCAGTATCTAAGGGAGACATGCAAACACTGAAAAAAAGGTATTTTACAAGAGCAAGATGAAGCACGACACTTTGCCGCCTGATATCTGGAGAATAAATCTTACTGCCTGCATTTTCGAAAACTCAGACTAGTGATAAAAAAGCATACTTTAGCACTGAATACCTTTGAAAGAATTGCTGTCGGTCATATAACAATAAAAATGTGTGAAAATGTCGAAGCATTTTTTTAATTACCATTTGTGACTTAAAACGAGTTGCTGTGATTAAAACAAGGGGGCTGCGTTTCTGCGGCCGTTGACGGCAGACTGCGGTCAAACGTCGGATTGCAATAGCGTTACTTGTCTTCTACGAAGGCAACATGCCACTGATTAAGTTAGGATAAAACTTATAGAGGGTTAGTGGCGCAGAGACTTGGGGGAAGGGGGGGGGGGGGTAGGGAGGTTAAAACCCCTCTGCCCCCCCTCCCCTCCCCGAGAGCCGTTCTTTTCTTTTTTTTTTTTTTCTTGTTCTCTTTTTTCTAGACATTGAAGTTTCATAGGGTGAGCAAAAAGAAGTAATTTGTGCCTGATAGTTGGGAACGTTTTCCGAAATTTAGTCTGCTCAATTCACTCGCTATCACCATCGGAGTGTGAGACATTTGTAAGAACATGCCATACCTCATTAGAGCAAGCAGCATACATTTGTAGTACTTTCTTCAGTACCACTGAAAATGGGTGTATATGAAAATGGTTTTGACCAACTGTTCGCATGGTAGCAAAATTTAAAAAAAAAGATCCCGCGATTGCAGTGCAAATAAAGCACATCAGTGTGAATTTATTGAATGAAAATGTAAGCTATCTAAAGTAAAGAAAAACAAGCAACTTAATTTTGTTTTGCCTATTAACAAATCAACGTGGGGGATTTTTGCGCGAAACCATCAATGGCATAATATGCCAGTGAGGCATTTATGAAGAATGCAACAAAGGTGTAATAAAAAAAGTGGAAGCCGTTTACAACTCCCTGTAACGCCGAATTGGAGCGCAGCTGTTGAGGAGGAGGAGGGAAGGGTACTGAGGGGAGGGTAGACCCCTCCTCCTCCTCCTCCTCCTCCGCTCACTCTTTATTATGCTCCGGGGGGGTCACCTGACCTCGGGTGGAGGGGTCATGTAACCTCGGGGGGAGGGGACCCCCCGAAGTCACGTAACCACGGGGGGTCACGTGACTTTAGAGGGTCACGTGGTGGTTGTAGAGACCGGCGACCGTTGAGGCCAGAGACGAACGAGCTCACACACGCGCCTGGTTTGGGTGGAACGAAACAAGTAACTTCGTCTGCCTCTTTACTCTCTCATATATATACAACCTAATGGTAGCGACACCTACAACAACAACCCCTTTTCTCAGACACATCACTCGTGGATGAACAAATCAGAACGCACGACCTCACTACAAGTTCAGTCTCTTTGGAGCTGCTACTCGACGGCCAGATCTCGTGCATCGAGGAGTCTGGATCCACACATTCGCTGGTGCCAGACTTACATCAGCTCTCGGACTTGCCCTTGGCTCTGCGGGAGCTTCCTTGGCAGAAGGCTGAGGAGAGGGAGTTGTAACCAGGCTTCGTTGTTCAGAATCTTGGGGTTGGAGGCCATTGGCTCCATCGGCCGCAGGAACCGGCAGAACCGGAGCTGGCAGGCCGGGAACAGGCTCCGCAGGTTGGCTCCTGAAAGGAACCAGGTGTCGCCGATTTCTCTGCAATACACCCCGCGGAGTTTCGACGACATAAGAGCGTGGGCGTTGCGCTCGGCTAAGCACTTGAGCAGAGTACTGTGCGTCGGTCACCCACACATCTTCGCCAGGTGAAAGTTCCCTGAGCTCGCGCACTCCATGACGACGGTCGAAGTCGGAAGCTTGGGGTCGCTTCGCCGAGCTGTCCCGCTCCAGAAAGACCTGTGACTTCGGCCATGCCGGCAGGAGTTTCTCGGCAGCCTTGGGTACTTGAGTGCGGAGCTGTCGACCCATCAGCAGCTGAGCAGGGCTAAAACCCAAGATGCCATGAGTATCTCTATAGAAGAGAAGTGACAAGAACGGATCGTCGCCTTTAACCAAAAGGTCCTTCACTGTCCGGACTGTACGCTCCACTTCTCCGTTTGACTGCGGAAATTCAGGACTGCTAGTGACGTGCTTAAATTCGTAGTCTTCCGCGAATCTGGCGAAGTCGTGGGAGGCAAACTGTGGTCTGTTGTCACTTCGAAGTACCTCAGGGATCCCGAAACGCGCCATGACACTTTTTACTGCAGAAATCACGACTTGACTTGACGTGGTTCGCAGTGTCATTACTTCAGGATATCGTGAGTGATAGTCCACTATCAGTAGAAAATCTTGGCCGTTTAAGTGGAATAAATTGACTCCCACCTGTTGCCAAGGTAGCTCTGTTGGAGGCGACGTCATGAGAGGTTCACGCTGTACCCTCGTCGATGCGCAGCGCTCGCACTTCTCGACCATGGTTTTGATTTGATCGCCGATACTGGGCCACCACACCGATTGACTCCTTGGTGTCCCTCGTGAATGGCCTGCAGGACCTCAGGTCGCAGCAATGCAGGAATAACGAGGCGTCCTCCTTTGAGAAGCACACTGTCACAAACGGTTAGTTCCCCGCGGTAGTTCCAGTACTTCATTAGGTGACACGGAACCTTGGTCTTCTGAGGCCAACCTTGGTCACAGAACTTTGCCAGTGCTATGCACTCGCCATCTGTTGACTGTTGTCGACGGACCACCTCGAGGCTGACGGGCGCACCTTCTTGGATTGCGTGAACCACGCTCTGAACGTACAGCTCTAGGCTGTCGCAGGTTGATGGAGCTGCTCGGCTCAACGGCGCTCGGGACAGGGTGTCGGCCGTTGCCAGGAGCTTCCAGGAACGCATAAGATCTGGTACTGATACCGCATCAACTTTATCCTCAGTCGCTGAACTCGTGGAGGAAGAAGGTCTACGTCCATGTCGCCAAGCAACGCAGTCAAGGGCTGGTGATCGGTTTCCACTGTAAACCGCAGTCCCCGGACGTACTCATCGAAGCGACACACGGCCCATGTCACTGCAAAGTCTCCTTTTCGGTCTGGCTGGTCCTCTGCTCGGTCGCAGTAAGTGACCGTGAAGCAAAAGCCACCGCCCGACGCTCGCCAGACGGTTGGTCCTGGAGCAGGACTGCACCAAGACCGAAAAAGCTGGAGTCAGTAGACACTATCGTCGGGTGCTCCGGATTGTAGCAAGCCATGCAAATGTCTGAAGAGAGCATAGTCTTCAACTTGAGGAAGGCAGCCTGCTGGCTTGGTCCCCAGACCCACGACCTCTTCTTGCTCAGCAATTCTCGAATAGGTGCCGTGACGGCAGACAGATGTGGCAAAAACCTACCTACGTGGTTGACAATGCCTAACAGTCTGCGGACACCTCCGACGTCGACCGGTGGCTCCATGTGCAGTACAGCCTCCACCTTCTCAGGGTCCGGCATAATGCCATTCTGGCTGACGACCACGCCAAGGAACTTTACACTGGTGACGCCAAACTGGGGTGGTGCTCGTAGATTGAGCGCACCGACTGGCAACGTTCCCGGACCGGCGGCGGCGCCCTCCCCTTCGGCCATGGCGGTCTCCTCCGAGGCTGGTGCTGGCGCTTGAAAAGAGAAAAGGCGCTAGCCGCTCACTTCTGACCCCATGTAGAGACCGGCGACCGTCGAGGCCAGAGAAGAACGAACACACACACGCGCCTGGTCCGGGTGGAACGAAAGAAGTAACTTCGTCTGCCTCTTTACTCTCTCATATATATACAACCTAATGGTAGCGACACCTTCCACAACAGGGGTCACCTTGGGGGGTCACGTGACCTTGAGGTGACCATGGGAGGGGTCACGTGACCTTGGGGGGTCCCGTGACCTTTGGGCGACCTTGGGGGGTCACGTGACCTTGGGGTGACCTTAGTTACGCCGACGGCGACGGCGACGGCGACGCCGCTCAAGCCGGAAACAGGCGCCTAAGAGCTGCTCTCTAAAATAAGGAAAATTTTCTTCGGTATCCTATTCATCTTCTTAAAATAAACACGGCATTGGCCCAAAGATCATATGTTGTTTACACGCGATCATAGCATAGAAATTGTAGAATGTCGTTTCTATGCTCCTTTACTAATTGAACAAATCATTATATACTTTTATAAAACAAATTCACCACCTTATTATGCCTCTGCACCTATTTACATCGATATTTGTTTACAAAGTCGTTTCGGCGCTCAATTCAAGTCTGGCCACCTTCAAATTCTCACTTTGCTACATTTTGATTCAATAAATGTTTATCTAATTCTAATGGATAAACATTTGAGACCTGCTAATTTGGAACAATTGAGTGAGGTCTTTCAAATGTTATTTTAACAAGCGTTTCGGGGACAAAGAAGCAAGTGTGGTGACTAGTATTTTTATTTTGTTTAATAATTTTAAACATTGATTAGATAGTTCTTACTCAATAAGATATCCCGTAAAGTTCTAGGTTTCGAATATATTCTGGTAAAAGTCACCTCTCATCTCCGTTCTTATTTCTCGTCGGGAGTCATCTACAGCTAGCTAGGCCTTCTTCACTTTCCGCTCCTTAACCATAATAGGCAATAACAAAAACAAAAACTGTGCAGAACAGGCAGTTAGAAATGCTGTGTTGCACCGCACGAGCATGCATATAATTGATGAGGATTTATGTTGTTCAAATCCATGGGAGAGCTGTCGCGAGGTGCGGGCGGGAATCGCCAAAGCAATTCGGCGGTCTGCGTAAAGCTATCAGACGCTAACGGTTTCGAAGAGACCAACAACTAGATGCTTGCACGGGCCAATATTAGGAGCCCAGCCCAGCCCGCGGCGCCAATATTCATGGGCAC